ACCAACCTTTTCTATCTCAAGGTTTTATCATTTTTTTTAACTTCTCAAGAATAATTATTTTTTCAATAAAAGAGTCTATTAAATGATCTTATAAATATAATATTATGTCCAACGCATTTGGCATATTAATATAATTTTCAAATTCTCAACTGCTTATTGAGTGGTACTTTCAGGTAATATATCATATTTGTCATTTCATCATAAGTATTTATGAAATTTATTCATAAAACGACTTTGACTAAAATCTAAGTTGACATTGCGAGCTAAATATGGAAATAATGGGACGGAGACAATATTCTGAAAGACTAATTTCTTCACCTTTTTGGCAACATCACTCATAAGACTAGGTCAGCTGTTCCTTCATCCAGAAGGTGAAGAAATGTTTTTCGCCAGCAGTCAATTCTGTACTATTATTACTTATGCTTGAAATCCACTCTCAATAGATACTTCCCCATAAACAATATGAAATGGTTGTAAATAGAATGAAGGGATTGGAATCAATAGCTTTTTTAAACAGGATAGTGTGTGGAGGAAACATGACATTTTTTACGCACCCTTGAGTCCTTGACTTGAGGAACTCGAAAGGTTAACATCACTTTAAAATTAAATAAGGAGCCTTTAGGCAAATTACAATTTTGATCAATTTCAATTTAATCGGAGTCGATTATATAAACCTATGTATCCATAAAAGATAATTTGTAATTTTTTCTACCATCATAGTTTTCATGACATTTGTTTTGCTAGTTTTATGCCATTAATTAATTGTAGAGACTTTTGTTATCACCTAAATTAGCCTATGTTTGGGGGGTGGGGGGTTGAAGGAATACGACGTTAGGAGGGAATTTCGATTTCCTTTCCTTTCTTGAGAGAAGGAGATGGAGTACTGGTATGTAAAATTGTACGAATAGTACTAAAAAGAAAAGGAAAAGGAAAAGGGAACGTTCAACTTCTAGTATTTTTCTTAGAAATATGTCCAACATATATAAATAATTTGGCCAATTTTCCATACAATAGAAGATGACAACTTTTTTTCCTTGAAAATAAGAGTCGTAGGAAAATAAAAATCTAAAAAATATTGTCATGATCCAACTTGGAGGTCGTGAAATGCACATTATGAGTTTCAACTTTTTTGTGGCAACACTTTTTTGAATTCGTTATTCCCTAATTTGCGGTTAATTACTTTTTCATGAATTAATATCATTAGTATTATTTATGTCCTCGATGAGTTTTCATACTTCGAATATTTACACTTTAAATATATGCTATATATAGCAAGCTAAAAATTATTTAAAAAAATTCATCCATCTTATTATGTAGATATTTTTACGTACTTGATGTTTGGCCAGAATTCTATATTTCTATTACATTACTCGCCTTATACTTTGTTGTTTTAGTGATTAATTATGCGATAAATTAGCTGAATTATGTTATTTTATGTGTAGGAGTATCGGAAGAAATAATCAAATGAAAGTTGCACAAAAAGAGGACGAAAATGCAAGAAAGAGCACAAAAATAAAACTACCCAGACCTAGCTACATGCTAGGCGTAGCCAGCTTGACCACGCTATAGGCCAGGCGTAGCCAGCTCTGTAGCCAGCTTGGCCGTACTATAGGCCTGGCCTCGCGAGGTCTCAGGCGCGCTACAAGCCTGGCCTCGCGAGGTCAGGCACCCGGTGGTCAAAAGTTCGCGAATTAAAATACTCCGACCTGAATTTGGACTCAAGTACCTCTACCCTAATATATAAATACTCCCTAAACAAGTTGAGGAAGGGGCGGACATTATTTTGGAAAAGAAAAAGGTTACAGAGCACCGTGGAGCAAGGAATCAAACGAGTTTTCCCTCTGTTTCTCTTTCATTTGTAGTTTAATGTCTTTGAATATCATCGTGATTGTTTATACATTTATGAGTGGCTAAACTTTCTCATCTAGGGTTTGATGTAACCTATTGGAGGATGATTTTCTATTGCGTTTAATATAAATTTGTCTTTGACTTTTCTCTACTTGTTCAACTACGTTTTTATTGTTGTTGATTGAAGAGCTCTCAATTGATTGTGTCTATATAGTGTATATTGCTTGAAAATAGTACACATTTAGGTAGTTGTTGAACAATATCACTCCTAATGTATATGAGTAATCAATACGGAGGGTTTAAAGGTAGGATTAGGAATAATGAAACCTTGGTGCGATAATAGTGAGCGGTAAATTAGTGACAGCTAGCGTAGTTTAGAAGAATACACCTAGTAAAATGTGGTAACTCGGAAGAGAATTACGACACCCAAAGTACTCAAGATCGGTAGAGAATACTTAGGCGAATTTGTAGAAAACGTAGTGGGGAGGATTCCAACAATAGGGGTGTTTACCCGAAAAATGGATAGAGTTGAATTTGTATGTAGTTCTAAGGATATGTGATATAACTTGACACAAATAGTAAAGATGAATAAAAATATCAAATATTGACTGTAAAGAGTAAAAAATAAACAAAGTTGAAAGGAGGATGATTTAAGGATTGAGCAAGATGAGTCAATCTATGAAGCTAAAATAGGATAATTCTTCAATATATGAGTGTATGATATCTGAGTTACAGTGTATGCAAAACTTGATTCCTTACAGAAATAATAACCAACCCATTTATAGTGAAGGGATCCTACTTTAGATACAATTAAAAATATATAGTGGGAGACCCATGATAAATCAGTTTTTTCATAATTCCTGCCAAGATTCTCTCTCCTAGTGCGGTTGCAACGGCTCTTGTCTATGAGCTACATATTGTCTCGAGCTCGATATCGTCTCGAGCTCTCGATCTTGACTCGAGCTCGATTCTGATTCGGAGCCTTGTATTGATTCGGGGACAGTGTTGGTCGGTCTCTGCCTCGCAAGCTCGGTAACTTCATCATAGTTCGATTTGGATTCGAGCTCAATAATGGTATCGAGCTCGACATTGATCGGTCCCTAGGGCTCGAAGCTTGATGGCCTGACTTCGGACCTCAACGTGATCTTCGATCCAATGCATTACCATTTCGACCAGTTCGTACGAAGGACTAACCGATTTTTACCGTATACAAGAGGAAATCATAACCCCTAGACTTCTCCAATCTTGTCTACAATATTTGCTTTGTTAGTTATAAAGTATAGCATTTTAATTACTTTACTCTTAGTTAGTAGGAAACACTCAAATCGTTATTTAATATTTTTGAAGATTGATTTCTTGAATTCTTGCAAAACTAGTGATCGTGATTATTGGGTTAATTCCCTTTGAGATTCGACTCCGAACTTATATATCGGATTATATTTGTAACGATCGCTGACCTCTTAGGAGACATAGTTAGGCATGATCAGTACTTCTATTTCCTTATATATATACGTGAATTGCATTATTAGTTTTTTATTATAGTGGGAGTTTAAGATTAATTTTATTATCTTCAAGATTGATAATCTTCAAGAGAAAAAGATAGGATCACATTTCATGAAAAATTTTAGTGAAAATTTTCGTTTTAAAGAATAACTTAAGGCTGAGTAACCAAGAAAGAAAAAAAAAATAATAAAAAAATAGAAATATTTTTAAATTAAAAGTTTAAGGGAGCAAGCGAGGATCAACCACCTGACCTTGGGGGAGAAGGTGCACTCATTTACCACTAAGCCAAAGTGCTCACTAGAGCATGGGTTCACACATGCTTTTTAAGAAGTAAATAAGTGAGAAAGTGATATACATAACATTCAAATATAAGTGATATACATAGTCTAGGGAAAAGAATATGGGTTCACGTGCACCCACCCCTCCCATATAGATTCGCCCATGTACGTGTAAATAACATTATCCTACAGAAAATAATTTTATTTTTATGTCTGAAAATAAGAATATAAGAATTATATCTATATCACTCCAAATCATTTCTTCATATATAGAGAAACATCCAAAATTTTAATCATAAAAGGCCTCTCCTTCTATACATTAATAATAAATGGTCGACATAATCCGAATTGCTTTGACTCGAAATGTTCAAAAATTGCTAAACACGTGAAAGATGAATTATAAAAATATATCTGCCATCCATTCACTAGTATGACACAATAAAATAAATAAATAAAAATATAAATCTTAGCACACACGAATTAAGATGCATCACTATAGTGTGAGTGTCCTTGTTATTTCATTATATTATATATCCAATATCTCTCGTCCTTTATTAATATGAAATTTTAGACTCTACTTTACTCAACATCCTTCTAATTTCAACATGATCAGATCTAATACTAATTATAATAGAAATTCACTAGTAACTTGTACTAATATATATTGTTCACTAGATGTTGGGTGAAACTATGTGTGGTCAAGGATGGTTAACTGAACATTCTTTGTCGAAAAATTATACTGTATATAGGATAAATTTCTTACTTGTTGTTAATAAAAAAAAATAGATTTTGAATACTTTTGCATAATAAATTGGCAATTCTTATTGAATTTTCTGGTTTCGACTTTAAAATGAGTTATTAAAGTTAACTAACATTTGTTTGGTATATCAGGACATTTCTCTTGATTTTGTTAATAAGAAATTTAGATAGGATGTTAACAACAAAATCGGCTAATTAAGAAGTTAGACTTATTAGATGTACCACGTGTACACAAATATTAAATAAAGTTCAAACCAAACTACTAGTGTAAGGTTAATACTAAGAAGAAAGAAGACCGATTCCGCGTCTTCCATGTCGGCCTTTGGAACTCTTAAGATAACCGCCGACAGACAAAAAGGAGCTCCAACACCGCCGGCTGCTCTTTCACAGTTTCTTATCCTCAGAATTATTATTATAAACATAAACTAAAGTACCCCATATCTTTGTTTTCTCATTTCACACCATTTTTTTCTTCACTTCACACTTAGTCTCAATCAAATCAAATCAAAACAGGAACCGCCTTAGCTTTATTATCTTCTTGACTTCACTACTCCACTTGTCCCCAAAAATATACTCTACTATATATATATATATATATCAAACTAAGAAAAAGTTAACGAAAAGTATATACTTCATACAATAAAGAAGAGTATATATTGGAGCTGTAGTTTCTTTCATAAGCTGACCGACTCTTTATTTGGCGGCGCTTATTTGATTTATTACTTCAAAAGAAAAGTTCTTTTTGTTTTCTCTTTTTATAATCTTCAACTCCCTACTTGTGTGTGTTGTCTAAATGTCTATATATATATAACGGTCTGTTTAAGAAACTTGCATTGGTACTAGTTTGTTCTTGTCAACCTTGTTGAAAAGTATATATTGTAAACTTTTGCGTTTCTGTATTGGAGGTTTTGGTTGAGTTTTCTTTTTGATTATTGCATGTGTATCTACAAGGTGGCGAATTCAAGAGACAAAATATCTAACAGGAGAAGACATGAAGATTGGGATAGAGATGATAATTATAATGTGTTGGAATCGATGTTTTCGGGTAATATTAATAGAGAAGAGGAGATGTCTGTCATGGTTTCTGCACTAACCCATGTTGTTGCTGGTGAAGATAGATTGAATCACCAAATCTTGACTGATGAAAATGGTGCAGCTGAGAATAATCTTGGTTCAGGTTTCTCTGCAGTTTCTTGGGGTGTTGGAGAGAAAAGAGGACGTAATGAAGAGCAAAGTGGCCATCATTTCTTACATTTTGGAAGTTCTGATATTAGATCATCAGGTATTTTTCCTTTCTCTTCTTTTTTATATTAATAGTTTGGATTTTCTTTTATTTTATGTTTGTGTTCAAGCGTCTGAAACATAAGACCCAATGTGGTTTCATCCTTGTCCGAACTCGTACACAGCAGGAGCGTAGTGCACCATACTACATGTCCCTTTTTTTAATGTTGTGTTCTTACTTAATTAAGTAAATAAAAGTATGTTTTTTCTTAACTTTTAGTTGATATAGATTACACATTGACATAGATACTAGAGTGGTCGAAAGTTCTCAAATTAAAACTTAGACGTATTTAGATGAGATTGACACACAAATCTATAGTTCATACTAATTAAAAGCTAAATGTAGAATATGAGAACATAAATGAATTAAGAAATTGCTTGATCTTCTCTATATGACGTATTCTGCAGTAGTTTTATTGATGTAGATGCCTTTGTTTTTTGTTTTGATTCTTGTCATTATCTTCATCAAAAATTGCATTTGAAACTGACAATATATAGTATCAAGTATGTGACTATTCACTATATTGATTTTTAGTACAGTATTAATGAAAGGTACTACAATATTGTTAGGTGAATGTGTACAGGTTGTACACATGTTTTCTCTGCATATCTTTTACACACTATTTTGGTCAAATCTTTGTCCTTAATTCCACATATAATAATGGCTCGTACAAATCTTACAACTCAGTCTCTTTCATAATTTGGCATATGGATTTTGAGGTACACATATATAACTAGTTCAATTTAATATATGAGTTGTTATTTCTTTTAGTTTATCATTTAGATGGCATGTATGTGACCTGATATCTACATTTATGTGTAGATATCATATATATTTGTAGATATATATCATTTGGGTGACCTAATAGTGTAAAAAATTCTTTGCGGATAGTATATATAACTTAAACTCTTTATGGTATATAGGTGGCGAAGGTACAAGCATTAGGACAATTACCAGCAGCACACCAACAACAGAAGCAACATTTATATACACTTCCACAAATGATAATCAGAACAGTAGCAGTGATCAATCTAGTGGAGGAGATAATAATAATAATAATAATAATAATAATAATAGTCAACCAAAAAGAAGATACAGAGGAGTTAGACAAAGGCCATGGGGTAAATGGGCAGCTGAAATAAGAGATCCATATAAAGCAACAAGAGTTTGGCTTGGAACTTTTGATACAGCTGAAGCAGCTGCTAGAGCTTATGATGAAGCTGCTCTTAAATTCAGAGGTAGCAAAGCCAAACTCAATTTCCCAGAAAATGTTAAACTCTTGCCATCTCCAGTATTATCTGATTCTCCAAATACACTTTATTCCGTTTCTTCATCGCCCGATCCAATAGTTCATACTTCTCTGTATCGTCCCAATTTTATTGGATATCCCCTAAGGGACGATGAGCCAATACTTCACACTTCTCAGTATCGTTCCAATTTTATTGAACGTCCCCGAACGGACGAGCCAATACTTCACACTACTCATCATCAAGCTTTGAATAGTAGTAGTACTGATTTAAATGCTCAAATTTTTACCAATGATGATGAGTTTCTTAGGCTGCATGTGCCTTATTTTCCGAATATGTTTTTATCTCCTGTTCAGCCAGATGCTAGTCAGAGCGAACTCGTAACTGAAACTCTAGCTCCGCCCCCGAGTCAGAATAGTGGGAGCTCTGACTCGGGAGCGATTTTCAAACTGCTGCTTCTAATTGGTCAAATTCAGCTTATGATCACCCTTCTTCTTCTTCTGGATAATATTATGTATTGTACTTGAATATTTCATCTTCTTAGAAGATTTGACTAGCTAGCTAGCTAGTACATTAATTATATCCATCACACGAGGTGATTTTTTTTAATGTATTAGTGAACAAGAATTGGCCAGCATTGTCAAAATTCATAGGAGTACGTGGATTAAGGTCTTCTTTTCTTTTTTGTTAGTTTTGGTGATATATTGTTTTGTTAGAAGTACATCAATAATGTACGTAATAATCCTCGAAACAAAATCCACGTATCCTTTTTGTTTGTGATGCCAAATTATAGTACAATTGTGATATTATATTCATGCATAATATGATCGTGAATAATTATATTGTCAAATTTTTTATTCTAGTAACTAGTAAGTACTGCTTTCAACAAGTATACACGTGGAAAAAAAACTGGGCACTAGCGCGGTTATTCATACCTTAACGGCACGTTTGTCCGTTAAGGTATAGCGCGGCAAATAACCGTGCTATACATAAAAGTTGAGCCCACCAATAATTTTTCTGGACTTAACGGACACACCATAATTCATAGGGGTATAGCGCGCATATTTAAGACGTTATACATCAAATAATTATACCCCCGGATTGATTTTTTCCTTATTTAAAAAGTTTCAGGATTTTGTAAAAATCCATTCAAGATCCTTCAAGTCTTCCGAAATATTTGTTTGTTAAGTTATTTTGCACTTTTTCATAATGTCTGAAGAGCGAAGAATTAGAGTTTCATTATATTGGGGGTGGTGGTTGTGGTAGAGAATAACTCAGTACGCTATAGTTGTTCTCCACAGTGTCATGTTAAGTTGCCAATTACAATGGAGTACGATACATTGGTATCGTTGTTATGTAAAAAAAAATGAGTGTGATCAAACGTTCGGTGAATATTAAAGTAACCGGAAGATATCTGTATTATGTTACTCCGCAAGGGGTTGCTTGTTATGCTGAGTTTAACATCGAAAACGATGAAACTCTAAGAGATTTTTTGAGGACTCCAGAAGAACCTCCACGTCCTGAAGCGTGAAGGTAGCCTCGCCAATGGGTAAATGAAATGTGTGCGTCTCCGGTTGCCACCGCTTTATCATAGCCGTGATCAACGACCAGTCCAACTGCAACCGGCCGATCTCTATGATCTTATAGAAACCCGCATCCTGAAGGCGTCTAACTATACGGGGATGGAGTGGGTGGGCTTTAAGAAAGTCCCACATATCGTCTACCCGTCTAGCACGGAATGTCTTGGCCAAACACTGCCCCTCCCATATGTACGAAGACCTATGCTCGGCGTGTAGCAACAGTAGCTCTAGCGATGCAGGTTCGGAATGCACAGGCGAAACCTCCATGACGACTACTGTAAATTAAACAATATTAATTAAAGTATTTTTCTTTTTCATTGCTTAACATCTTTAAATATATTACAATATCTTTAATATTAAAATTTAATCGATATTTTTACTATATTGTTAATTAGGTTGATACATTTTCTATATTATAATTTTATATTTTATATGTTAGTTTATTATTTTATATGTTACTTTATTATTTTATATGTTTGTTTATTATTTAATATGTTTGTGTCTTATTTTATATGTTAGTTTATTATTTTATATGTTTATTTGTTACTCACCTATTTTTGACTATAATAAAATTAAATAATTAGTTTTCATAACTATACAAGATTTAATTATTAAATATTCATATAACAATACTTAGTTTGACAAATATTGTTGTTTTCTAATGTTATTTTCTGACGTTTGTTGACTAGAATTCGAGAGAGTTTGTATTTGAACTATCAATTTTTCTCAAATATTTTTGGGTTTAACAGATAATTAAATGATTGATTTCAATAACTACAAAGATACTACGCTAAAGAGCATTACATTTTACTACGCTAAAAGGCACTACATTACAAATACGAGCACTACACTAAAATTACGGGCATAACATACCACTATAGGGAACTAAAGTCACATATTCATATATGTACAACAATAACATCTAAATAAGATTAATTATTCCTAAAATAATAATTTATCTATTTTATTAATCTTTTAGCAAATAACTAATCTAAATCGGATAAAATAATAAATTAATTTAATCACAAAATAATCACGAAAAAATATATAACAAAGTAAAAATTAACTAATTAATATTTGTTTAACAACTAATAACAATTTCTCTATTTTACTAATTTTTTTATCACACTAATAATATAATCCGGATAAAAAATAACAAATTAATTAAATCGCAAAACAATCACGAAATAACATAGAACACAGTAAAAATAACTAATAGGCATTTTTTATACATGAGTTTTAACAAAAAATAAGTCAGAATACCTCGTTTTTAATTTTTTGAAAAGTTGGAGATTTGGTGATATGGAGCCGAAACGAGCAACCCACTACGAGATAACGCCTTAGATACGATGTGGGATCGAGAATCTACACTTTTGTGGGACCGGTGGGCTCCAACTGAGTTTTTTTCCCGTTAAAAATGGGGAGGGGGGGCGCTGGTTTTTTGGGTTTTTTAATGGGGGGAGGGTTCTGGTTTTGGTGGTGGGGAAGGAGAAGGGCCCATTTATTTATGTAGGTATAGCACCCTTATTTACTGCACTATACTATAGCGTGGTAGATAAGGGCGATATACCTTCCCGCCCATTTAAGTTCAAATAAAGTGCGGTATTTCATCGTGTATACCTTAACGGCAAAGAACCACACTTTGTTTCCGGACTCCATCATATATACTCACCCCGAAAGCTTGCCAGCTTAGAAGCTAATTCCTCTTGACATGTCCTCCGTCATAGGCATTATATACAACCCCCAGGACTCAACTGCAATTCTCTAAAGTTGTAATTGTACTATATCAGTTTGAATCTGACATTATATACGTATATTCGTTATTGTCCAAGCTTAGGACACGTACTTTTGGTCCAACCGATTTCATGGATTAATTTGTTCATTTGTTACCCAACGTTGAGCCTAAACATCGCGTACTATGTGAATTATTTGAGCTCTATCTCATACGTTATTAGATTTTTTTTTTCCGTCCTTTTTTAACTGAAATTGGCTCAAGAGTTATAATATCTAAAAGTACATAAATATCAAATTTGAGTTTGTACATATAAATTTTATCTGGAGCAAGAGTTATAATTTAACTGCCTTTTGATAACATTCTGTGAACCTTAAAGTTTGTAAAAGTCTCAGATTTGAATATCCTGATAACAAGATTTGAGTAATTCTTAACCAGATTTAAGATTTAGAAGTATTCGTCATACGAATGTGGTACCAGATCCAATAACGATGTCATTTTATTCATTGACTGATTGTAGGACTCATTATTTCCAGTTACAAGCACATGCCCAAGTCAACTAAATACCAATTAATAACATTTTAGAAGTATGTAGAAGAATGAAAATGTCAACCAAAATCCAAATCATATATAAAAATCATCATACAACTTCCAGTCTTCCAGAACTTCAAGAACCTTTCCCCTGAAGTTTATTCAATTTCAATTTTGGAGTATTAGTAGGGCCATAGCACCAGAGATTCTATTAGTGGGGTCAACAACTTAATTATTAGAATAAAATTATCTGCAGTAGGATAACTTCTTAAAAGGCTAACCTAAATAGCCGTACACTCAATCATTTAACATAAAAATAGACGACAAACATACAATGTGTATGATAGTATTATTCAATTTATAATTTATGCATACCGACTAAAAAAGTAAATAGTAATCCGGATCGCTCTTATGTTAATTCTTATCAAGAATAATAAACTAAATGCTCTTATATATTATTAGACAAGTTTAGGGATAACCATTGTAATATTTCATCGACAAATACGATAATATTTAAGCAATACAATCTTTGGGTTTCCCAAATGAGTGTTTACATTCTTGAATTCTACCAAGATAATGTTAAGTTTATGTCATCTAAAATTCAAATTATTACAGACGAAGAATTCTTTGATGGTGGGTGGTGTGCATTTCAAATTCAGACAATGTCAAATTAGGTATCACATTAATTAAAAGAAGAATTAACTCAAGTAGCCGTTCACCCAACTATTTAAACTAAAAATAGTCAAGGGAGGTATAATATATGCATAATTTATGTATTATATGTATATAGATAATGAATGTATAATCTATGTATATGGCTAAATAAACAATGAATACGGTCGGTTATTTGCTCATTTATTTTCTTTTGAGAAGTGACGAAAATAGAAATGTAACTTGATGGGCGTGAGGCTTTCATAAAATTAAAACAGCTAAATATGGTTGCAAGAGCAAAATGTGCGTCTCAATTTCAAATAAATTGAGATCAGCTAGATAAATAATCACTAATATGTTTCCATTTTTGCGATGAATGTACTTTGGCTTTGTTTTTACCATTACTCTCTTTATTCGGAAAATGTAAGGTAAATATCAATCTAGAAATTGAAATGTAGAGAAAACGATATCGACCTAACAGTTTAACCTCGACTACGTTAAAAAATAATGTGAACAAATATAGATTTACTGGTATAAATTTATATTTTCCTATCCCCTTTCGTTACCGGCATTTATAACGTCAGCGTATATAATTTTAAAAAAACCATGCTGGAAGAGCTAATCACAAATTGAATTTGTCATTTAGCTGGACACCATAGAGAAATTAAAAATAAATAAAAGCCATAGCATAATTGATTCTCGCTCTTTATGCGCACTTCTAGCTCGACTATGATTAATTAATGTAAACTTTTACCTCAACTTTTTCCTTCACATATCACTTAATCATAATTTACTAAATGAATTGGTCTAAATATCGTGGATAAGTTTCTATCGTTAGTCACATGTGTCCCTTTTTACGCCTTCTATTTTTCATTTCAGATTATTTGAATAAGAAAACAACCTCAGGAAGCAGGATGCAGTTATCTATTCCAAACACACGCAAAAAAACTCCTTCCCCTGCCACTATGCCAAGGCAAGGATATAGTCTTAAGACTCTTTTTACGCATCCCTTACCATCATCTCAAGTTCTAAAAGCGGATTCCAAAACAAGGAGGCACACCATTAAAATCACACCCAGGGAAAGCAGCATTTTCAAATAAAACCATGGCTCTCTTTCTCCGGTCCTCTGAATGTGATAAATAACAGAGTAAATAAACATTAAAGAACTTGAGATCTTTTAGCATCAAACCTGAATTTTGTTGATCTCAATGAATAAATCATGCAGAGAAAACATTGCTAAAGATACAAAAGGGTAAATGGGGGAAGAAAGTCGAAGCCCTGACACCGAGAAAAGCAAGCAGGCAGATCATGATAGCAGGGGGCAAGGTTGATTGCAAGTTTTTGTTCCTGCTGCTAGTCCTTAAAATAGAGCAACCCAGACTGCAAAAGGATTTCAATTTTGTCACATAATCAACTTCCTTACCCCGAATTGCTATAATTGATGTGAGGCTCTACCTGTAGAGTCTGATTAGTCTTTCAAGCCTTTAATGCAGCTTTGTGTACCATTGTTTCTTTGTGGATTTGGTGGCAACTCTTCTCTACAAGGTCAAGCAGCTTCTCCAAATTAAAAGCCCATGAATTCAAGATGTCATTGCTGTCTTTTGCCGGTTGGAAACAGACTACACCCATAGGTCTGTCAATCTTAGCAACCAATGCTTTTGATACAACCATTTCAGATAGATGCTTCTCGGTTTCCTGAGATAAAAAAAGAAAGAACACGAGGGTCACCAGAAGAATTTATGCTAAGAGAGGTATATAAGTTTCTGTGAACGGCTGCAGTGTCTAGACAGGCTATGCTCAGTAGTCAGTAACAATGAAGAGAAAATAGAACGCGGGCACCCAGAGATTGGTTCAGTTCCATCATTTGAAAGTTAACACCACAGAAGGTAAAATATGAAATAATAAAATATTGGAAACATCTAGCAGCTCACCAGTGATCAATGTTAACAGAATTTTATTTTATACTCACACAGAGAATCACCTTTACTATTTTAACACAAAAATGTAGCACAAATTTCCCTCCATCAGAGCGCTACAACAGTGATCTAAACTATCACGAACAGGTTCTGAATTAACAAAGCCAGCAGCCTATGGATTTACAAAATCAAAATTACATCGCTGTAAGGCACAGAGAGACCCAAGACTTGTAGACTCTTGGAGCCTCAGCCCTTGCACTTAGGTTAGATCACATTGGCTTTGTAATAGCAGGCACCCACATCCCACAAAAGTTGAAGTAAAACATGTAGCTGTTGTACACAACACATGAATAAAATTTGAATGAGTAGCAATAAATTAAACATGCACCTGGATACTGAGGCACAATAAATCTGCCAGTCTCTTCAAAGTTATTCTCGAGTAGTATTTTGAGACGACAAGGATGTTCTGCAAGGGAAGAGTATTTGAAAAGTGAAACATCAAATTCAAGAGCAAAGTGGAGGACTGCAGCATAGACCAAGTTGACAGGTGCCATTATAACAGAATCAACCAATAGAAACTTTAAGCCTTCGGATATTACATGCTCTATAACTCTCAGTCTGAGATCTTCGGCAGCCTTGTCACCCAAAGTGCCACCAGGCATATTCTTTTCATTTTCAAACTCATCCTTGAAAGTATTCCATAAAGCAGTCCATTGAATGACCTCCATGGTAATCAATTGCTTCAAAAGCAGCCTGAAGCAAAAACAGAAGGTTAATAAAAGCCATAACTTGACTTTTTTGTTTAGAGTTTCAATTTTGAAACGTCAGTTTCAAAAAGTATGGACTTCAAAGATCCCCAATCATTGAATCATTCTGATATGCACTGGTACCGGATCTAAAAGTTGGCCCCCAACTCCCGGTTTTTTCATTTTTTTACCCCTACTCGACGGAATAAGCTATTAACAAACACTTCTGACCATGCTTATGTGGTGGTGGCGCAGCTTATGTGGCAATAGTGCGTGCCAAACACACTGATAAGTGCATGAATATGATTTATTTAGCTAAAAAAAGTACTAAATCATTAAAAATTTACAATAAAAAGGAAGATAAAATATAAAAAAGAAAAGAAAAAGAAAACAACCCCTTCTGTCACTCCTTTCCCCCGTCTCCCCTTCTTTTCTTTTTCCCCCTTCCCCTTCTTCCTGCTTCCCTCCTTAAACCCTCTTCCACCGTGAATTCCNCAACCCACCCACACACCTCCAGCTTACTCTTGTTCCTTTACCCTCCTTCTCCTCTTTATTCATGTCCCCCACCTCCGCTAACTTCAAGGAAAATGGACTCGAGGGAGCTCCGTCCACAACCACCTTTACATTGCCGAATTTGAGGCAAAATTAGGGAATATCAGAGATTTCTTTGGCAGTGCTGAAAAAGATGGGGCTTTCTACTTCTCTGAGAGTCATCAATGGTAAAATTAGATGAAGAATTGTTGATCATGACGATGAATTGTTGGTGATGGAAATGGATTTTAAAGACACGTTTGTTTTTAAAAGAATGATGAAGCACGAGGAGCTACTGTGGTTGGTAGAGGGAAGAAGGTGATGAAGGAATGAAGTGGAGAAGTGAGGTTGGTACCGGTGCGGTGGCATGGCTGATCTTTAGAATAATGAAGAAGACGGTATTTAAAGGTGGTTTTGACAGGGCGGTCAGTGGGGCGTTTTGTGTATAGATGGTAAGATGTGAATTGAAGGTGGTAAGGACGGTAGTGCTAGAGGTCTTTGGCAGTATATCTACTGATGGAACCACCACCATCTTCCACATCTCTCTTTTTACCAGATCTGTTTCGGTAAAGAGAGGACGAATGAGATGAGGGAAGATTAGGTTAAAAATATTCTGGTGGGGGAATAAGGAGCCACTGTGATGGTGAGTTGGAATATGAAGTTAGGAATGGGCTAAGAAATTTTAGTGGAAAATCAATGCAAGAAAAGAAAAAATTTTGGTGTTGATGACAGAAGAGGTGTCAAGAGGTTGTCCAGGAGGAGACGAAAATGATGGAGGGTGAAGAAGAAGAGAGTGCAAAAATCAGAAATTTTATACACTGGTTTTTACAAGTAGGACAAGCAAATTACACGTGTCAAACAATAAAAGGCCTTAGCGCATGACGTGCTATCCTTGTCAACGCAATTGAGGATCACACTCTGATGGAGGTGTTTAAAAAATGTGTCTTGACAAAGTAGGGGTGTTAAAACGTGGAAAAAGAGAGTTGGGGCCGACTATAAATTCTGATCCAAGGGCAAGGTAATTGGGTATTCTGCCTTTCAAAAAATACGGACTTCAAAGATCACCTAATCATTGAATGACTCCGATCTCCTTCAGCCTCAACATGCAAAAAGCATACTGCCTCGGTTACATTTTATGTGCATACTTTCCTCTTTGGTCTGTCCCGAGCAAAGAATGATTACCTTTTTATATTTAGAATTAAACTTCTCATGTTATCCTTAGTGGGATGATTTAAAGCCACAAGAATGTTTATGGCTCGTTTTAGACCACAAGTTTCAAAAGTCTTTATTTCTTTCTTAAAACTCTGTGCACAGTCAACCACCGTCACATAAAATGGGACGGTGGGAGTATCAAGTAAGCAAACATTGCAAAAATGCAAAATCCAGTGAGCCAAGATTCTGAATTCTATTTTTCCAACCAATGTATTACATGTGATACGATTTGACTAGGGAGGGAGTTTAACATGCTAATTTGACACTTGTACTATAAATAGTAATCAAGAAATATTAAAATAGTTGCTGAAACTTCATTAGTTTACGAAACATAGGATAAATTTGTGAATAGTTAAATAAATTCAAAATCCTGAAGTCTTTGAAGCATGCAAAGAATGAGATTGTTGATGGATGGTGGCAACATCCTCGACATGCTGAATAGAAATTGCCATACAAAATTATCCAGAAGGAGTACAATATATTTATTATCAAATAGTCCATAACCACACGAGTTGACTACGGTTGCCAAAATTTTGAGAAATCTTAACTCCACAAACCCCAATAAGCAAATGCAAAGATAATATCTCCACATAGTAATTCCTTTTTTCCTTTTTCTATAAGTAGCATCAATAAACATACTGTAAGAGAATTTTCACACGAAAACCTGAAATGAGGGATTTCTGAAAGATTCTTGTCCTCCAAAGTTGAGTTATGAAGACTTGATTGCATAGGATCATGGGGAGATAATACCAAATACCAGCAAATTTTCCTCAGAACCTGCATAAAATAACAGAGTTCAGCATGCTGGTTGATCAAGTATTATCTGCAATAAGTCATCTTCAAGATTTGGAATCTCAAATACAACTGATGAGCTCCTCTACCTACATCTATCTACCCCTACGAGTTGGAAATGCTTTTAAAATAAAAAACATGCCAGCTCCATTAAGAAAATAGCCTCTTATTAAGATTCAAGTTACCATTTACCAAAATAAAAAAAGCTATCCATCCACAGATTTTTCTCCTAATATACCAGTTTCAAATTTCTTTCCTTTTTAAAGCTGTGTTACAGTTGTTTTTACACACAAACATTGGCATAGATAGCTGTGGTGCTCCAACATGTGCTTGAAGGCCGAGAAGAAGCTAAGACCTTGATCAACAAGGGTGAACTTGCAAGTGATAAAGCTTTCTTCTTTTATTCCCACATGTAATCAAATTTCTGACAAATGAAAAGGATGCCTACCCTCTTATCTAAAAGATGATAAGGATGCCCTTCTCCCCTAAGATGAAGAGAGGCCTGACTAGCTGCATAAGACTACAACGCCAGTCTCAGCTCACAATTACCATATGATACCAAAGAAAACTAATGATATTCCTTCTCTTCTTTAACCATGCATTTCCCAGAAAAAGAGAAGGAGAGAGTATGCCTCTATGAATTTGATATATATTGGTAATTCCACAGCATCTTTACTTGACGTAGCAATTGGAATTTCATAGTGGGAAATTAATTTAATCATCCTCTCTTTTAAAGTTATGCAACAATAAGGTCTCTGTTTCAATAGATTAATAATTTCCAAACCATTTTAGTTTTGTCAAAGTTGGTATCTGACATTGGTAAATGAATTTGATGTCACTTTATTTTGAAGTTATGCAGCAGCACAATTATTATTTAATTTTTCTCTACTGAATCGCTCATTCACCAACAGTACATTTCACAATGTGCATTGGATAATACGACAAGCAACATCTCGAAATTATAATGAAGTAGAACGTGATTATGCATGAAAAGGACCACTTACCGGTATCCACTGTGCTGGGTCTTCTTTCACAGAAGGGATCTCATATATAGCCTTATAACAACGACATATTTCAAGGTAATCGTTGCTATGTGAGTAATACCTGCACCAGAAAGAGAGCAAATGACTCACCAGTTTAAGATATTCAAATGCAAAGAACGATATCCAACTGCAACAACTTGTTCATCTAGAGCTACATCATTCAAAATTACTAAGCAGGCTCTTTTAGGCCCTAGGATTGGTGATCTGCTAAATCAGCAGTCCTGTTCCAACCTAAAATTCTCGAAGAAGTTAAGGGCACAACATCATATATATAGCATAATTATAGTTCATCCATTTTTTTCTCCAAATAACTATTACATTTGCTTGCATTACATTTCTATTTTTTACTTTTTCCCTTTTGTGCTTTCTTCCCTAAAGCCCAGCCTTTAATTGCGTTTGCGCTTAAAGTTCCAACAGGCTTTGGAGCTTTTTTGCACTTTTCGTTTTTGACTACTTTGTTCAACTTAGGTGCCTAAAATTTATAGAGTTTAGATGATCACAACCACATAATTTAATTATCATGTATTCTCAAGAAAACAGAGACACCTCTTGAAAGGAAGAGCAGAGTATAACAGAACTATAATTGACCTCCTAAAGTTTAGTCTCCTGCTCCCAGTGAAATTTTATGGATGGAAATCCATTCATCATATAAACCAAAACAGAGAGAGCAAATACGAAACTGCCTCAAACATGCAGCTATGCGGAATTTGCATCTCTCTATTTCTCAACTGTAATGAATGCACAGATGTGTATTATCTCTTTGGATGAAAATATGAACCATTCTGCTAAAATGAATTGTTACTGAGAAAATATGGATAACATTCCCTTTAGGGGTCGTTTGGTAGAGTGTATAAGAATAATGCTGAATAGGGTGTATTAGTAATGCTGGTATTAGTTATGCTTGCATTAGTTATGCTGGCATTAGTTATGCTGACATATTTCTTATCCATTGTTTGGTTTGATGTATTAAAGCATTGCACAATTTCTAAAAGAATTATTTGTTTACAAAAATACCCTCATAACCAGTCCATCACTTTTATCTTTTTAAAAGAAACATATGTTGAGGAATGTTTTTATACGAAAAAGGTTTAAAAAAAATTTATTTGATTTGTCTACCTATATTGTAGTATCGAACTGAATATTTATTTATAAAAAAAAATATGCTAAGTATTTATTTATTTACTAGGGATACAATTTTATTTCCCACTTTCTTGGATTATTTCAAACTTGCATTAATAGTATATTTTAATCAAGCATAAATTTTGAAGGACAATTTTGTCTTTAACTAAACTAATGCATGCATTAAAACCCATTGCATTGTTAATACCATGGATTCCTATGCATTAGTTATGCATAGGATAATACCAAATAGGGTGTGTATAAGTAATGCTTGCATAACTAATGCATAGGTTCAAAAAGTGTACCAAACAAGGTATTATTAATACACAAAGCTAATGCATGCATTATTTTATCTAATGCATCCTACCAAACGACCCCTTAGTCCCTTGGATAAGGGTAAAACACTAAAATTCTCATAGACAACTAAAACATATACACAACGAGGATAATCATTATTTTTATTCAGGAAGCATGTCTTATCCAAACTCAAACGTAAAGGTGAATTATGTAGAGCAACTGTCAGCAAACATTGAAAATGAGCACATAAAAAAGTTCTCTTAAACACTAATATGTCCAGTCCAGATGCTACAGAAATCACCAAAAATAAGGGCAGAAGATGCAAGCTTTAACCATGACTGCAGTTAACTATTCCAAGTTTTTCTACAGAAATAATNTTTTTCTAAAGAAATAAATAATACTATATTAAAATCCTATTTGAGTTTGCATAAATGAGCTGAATGCTTGATAGCGCAAAGGGTGTAACACTATCATCAAATCTAGAGAAAACAACTTGACACAAAACCCACATTTAAAACATAATCAGATGTACCTAATCATTAATTGATAGTAGATTTGCTTCAACTCTAATAGTGATGGAATATCTGCAGCAGGCTCCTCAACCACATTTTCACCCTCCTTTGGTTTCTTCTTTTCCTTAGAGGGATCAGCTTCAAACACTCTGGGATTGATCTTTCTTGAGAGTATTTGAGCACGAACATAATCTTGACGATCTAAGCATAGACGAACCTGCAGTATTCAGCATCATACAGTTAGTCCAAAGGCATGCTCTCATTTATGTTTGAGTAGAAAGAAAAGAAAGAGTATCTATCACATACTTGTTCAAGAATGAAGGCTATCTTCTCAGTTTTTGCCATCGCCCCAAAAGTTTCAACCTGTTAGTTAAGCCATGGGCGCATTGTAAGTGAAAACCATCGAGAAAGATTTTTCTAGAAAGAAAAGGAACCCCACTGTTGCAGCTTGACATCGATTGAGCAAAGCAAAAAAGACCTAGAAGACACCAAAGCGAAAGTCACCAAATACTGACCGCAACTTCTTGCATCAAATCAGCAGCCTCGGCTATTTTTCCTTGTTCTTCGTTAATCTTGGCGAGTTTCTTAATCAAGCGAGCTCTCTCAATTTCGACATATATCTACATGCCAGATCACGGTTGCTCAGTAAGAGAGAGAAACAGATTGCAGCAATGTTTTTATGAAAATGAAAACACGCTAACCTTTCCGGCAGACACATTGTTAAGCGTCTTGATGAGCTCTATCTTAGTGTCAAGATCTGGTGTCTGGTCAATATACTGCATTGCTTGTTGGACCATGGCCTGTACAGCCTGCACAAGTACAAGAAAAACATCAAGCATGTTACTAAAGTATAAAGAGGACAAATGAACGCATAAAATCATTCATCAAAACTAGACAAAGTACTGCATTGCCCCATGTGTATATTTTTCACGGGAATGGCTCACTATGTATATACAGACCTCAATACCTAGGAATTTACAGGTTAATCCATCGTTGTTATTAAGGAGTTAGGGGACTAACCATATACCAAGAGTAATGCAGATAGAAAGCAGCATTTAATATGCAAGAAATAATAACTCTTAATATTACATACAAACAAGGGAGTGGTAGAGAAACATAATTTGAAATATAAAGACTTACATGACTACAGACGGAGAGAGGTTTCCCTTTCGGGAAAACCCCAAAAGACTTCTTAAAGCAGGAAACTTATTCTTCAAATTTTTGCTATTTTACAAAGGGGTTATATTACAAGGTTTGAAAGGTGGAAAGTGGTTTTTGTCATTGGGGAAAGAGAAGGGAATATGTTATTTTTCTTCGGTTGTTAGAACACTCAATTTATAGGCGTTTGCGGACTTCACTTCCGGACTTCATTTTGCTTGAAGAATCTTTCCTTTCTCTTATTCACGTGAAGTTTCAGAATATGTCTTGCATTATTGTGCTCGACTTACTATAGGTCTTGCATTATTGTCCTTGAGTTACTGTAGGAGATGCCTTTCCATATAAAATGTCTTCTCATTCATTTAGATGTCTTTTCATTGCATTATTGCGTTGAGCCTTTCTTTTGATTCCCAACTACTTTTCGTCTTATTCTTTGTCTTTTTCGATCTTCTTTTCTTTTTGGCTATTATGACTGGGGTCTGCTTTTATGTGTCAAGATTGTGTAAGGCTATTGAGACGAAACTCATTCCTGAATCATCATTTGGGTCTTGAGCATCTTGATAATTTAGATTATCGTCTTCTCCTGAGCTTCGTCTTGGAGATATTTCTAAACTCCATCTCTAGTGAGTAAACAACTCCATCTCTATTTCGGAGCGCGTTTTTTTAGTGAGGAGTAAGCCCCAGAGACTTTTTCAAATTAAAACAAAATTTGTTGAATAAGTCCTTCATATAATACCCAAATTCTCAAAAGTGAGTTTGGAAATTACTCAAAAGGTTTAAAAAGGAACTCAAAAGTATTAAATTTAAAAGTCAAGACTTTTTTTATTGATTGAAGCCCTAATTCATTGTCTTTCCCAATTTTTTATCTTGTCCGCTAGTCTGCTAATATCTCCCAAAAGCAACGAATATTTAATTTTTTTTACAAATACAAAGAGAACTCCATTCTCCTTCATAGCAGCAAGTTCAAAGTTCAAATTGCAGGTTAATCATCCTTTTTGTTCCTCCATATAAAAAACTTTATTCTTTTAGACTCAAGTTACTTGTACTTGTAAGTAGCGTATAATAGATTGTTTTGATTAGTTTTTTATGGGGATGGAGCTCATTTTATATATATATATATATCACATATTTATAATTTTCTTCAATTTTTATGCAATTTTACCTGTTTATAAATATTTACTGTCATTATATTATTTTATCAAATATTAAAAATTAAATACATATGGGGCTTACGCCTCATGCCTCGGGGCTTACGCCTTGCTGAAGCATATGTAAAACGCCTCGCCTTACGCCCACACCTTTTAAAACACTGCTTGTAACTTTAAAAAATCTAAATTTTGCTCTAATTTTTCTAAAATCTTTCTTTGTTTATTTTGTAAGAATTCTATTATATCTAATGTTCTTATTATTTTCTTGAGATTTTTCACTAAATTTAATTATAAAATCTACTAGAGTATTATATTGTTTGTCTTCAGTATGTAATATATGTTCTCCACTACTAAAGTTACACTTTATGACTGAATTTTCTTTTAATATTCTATATTTCTTTTCCGGATATATTCTTAAGTCTAGATATTCTAGATTCTTTAATTTATCTATCATGCTTGATTTTATCTATCCCAACGGTATCTACACTTTGTTCCTTTTTATAAATTGTATTCTATGTTCTAAGGTCTCTATATCAGTTTTTATTCCTTTTAATTCCCAATTTATGGCAAATATTGTTTCTTTACTTATAATATGTTGCACTACTGTATTTATTATTAACGATGATAATTCTTGTGTAACTAATTCTAAGATTGTTGTTAAGAGTTTTTCAACTTTCTTTAATTCTCTTCTTCTTTCTATTTCTCTATTTAAATACCAATAATTGATAGCTATTTATCTAGTCAAAGGGTGTTGCCTCATAAATGTGTATTTAATATGGTTTAAAACAAGTTGTTATCTTCTTTTAAGAGACTAGAGCTTTTATGTATCCTAATAGTCTAGATTCTAAACTTGATATTGTATATATCAGTTGGTTTAACCTCTAAGGATTCTTGTTTGTTCTACTTAGTCTAATATATTCTGGGTATAATCTATTTAATTCGTTTTTTTACTTCTTGATAGGAGTCCGTTTCTAACATATGTTATCCTAATGGGATATGTTTTATCTGTCTTTTGATAAATCTTATATAATTTCTTCCTTGTGTTATCTCGTTATTAGAATTCTGTATTTCCCAAAATGAGGTAATTCTTAAAATTTGTCGTCCAAATCAGTTTCTTGTTCTCTTTGATGATTTATCTCTATATTATTCAAATATTCTTTAAGTGTTGCTCGAAATTTTTTTGTATTTTTAATTTTTTCTAAAGTAAGATGTATTGATTAAGTTTCATATTACATAACAATAGCAGTTGTTTACTCACTAGAGATGGAGTAATATTTTTTGAAAACATTACTCATACACTAGTACAAACAATAAAAACTAAAAAATTTCTTTGTCTTTTTCGATCTTCTTTTCTTTTTGGCTATTATGACTGGAGTCTGCTTTTATGTGTTAAGATTGTGTAATGCTATTTAGTCGAAACTCATTCCTGAATCATCATTTGGGTTTTGAGCATCTTGATAATTTGGATTATTGTCTTCTCCTGAGCTTTGTCTCAGAGATATTTCTAGACTGGGATTCGTAAATGTAGAATCATATCTATTAGTTGACAATAATTTTTAACCTACTTAACTGGTCTGTGAAATCCTTTAATATGTTCAAATGTTAAGTTATAGATTGATATAGTATCAATGAAGTTCAACCATCTTCTTCTACTGCTATTCTTTTCATTTATTTTTTGGTGGAACTTAACTATAGCTTCACAATCAGTTATAATTAAAATTTCTGGTTTATTTAATATATAGTCTGAAACTATATAGTCCATAGATTACAGCTAATATTTCCACATCTATACTGCTCATATTCCCTTTTTCTTTATATTTACCGCTTGGTAAGCAAATATTTTTTCTTCACTCTTATCACTATATTTATTGGGTTTGGCTTTTAGAACTGCTCTCCATCCTTCAAAATTTCCATATGTTTCTATAATTAAATAGTCTGTTTCTAATGGCAAGTTTAAATCAGGAATATTTTTTATTTTGTCTTTAATTTTTTGTACTAGTTTAATATCTATTAAAGTGTTTTTGTCCCATAGAACTTGTCTTAGCGTATAAAGGTCCAACTATTTTGCCTACATCTTTTATGAAATTTCTTGCATAATTTACTATTCCTAAAAACCTTTGTAATTCTTTAATATTATCTAGTTTGTCTGGCATTTCTAAGGCTTTCTTAGCTATATGGGGTTGTAATTTAATTTTTCCATTTCCTAAAAGTACTCCTAAGAAATTTGTATAATTTTTACATAATTCCATCTTTTTACTAATTATTATTCCGTTATCCACGAATAGTCTGAAAACTGTTTGTAGGCGTCCTAAATGTTCTTTAATATCTTTACTAAATACTAATATGTCATCTACATATACAAAACAAATCTTTATATTCTCCAAATATACTGTCCATTTTTCTTTGAAAAATAGGTGGAGCTGTTTTTAATCCAAATGGCATTACTAACCACCCAAAATGTCCTTCCGGGCAAGTAAATGTTGTCCATTCTATACTCTTTCATGCATTTTTACTTGCCAATATCTTCTTTCCTTGTATTCTATTTATTAACTCTGTTTTATCATGTAACTTATATCCATCTATTTTAGTATTATCACTAAGCCCCCAAGATTGAAGATAAGGGAAAGGGCGTCCAAGCTTCACCCTCGGACATATATTTTCAGACAATGTTAGGTAATTTTCAATTTAAGCCACAAGCCTTAGTAGAACAGACTAGTATGGACAAAATATGGTTTGGGAAACATAATTTAATATTTTTTCCGCCGTCAAATATGTCATTCAGAGTTCTAGCATGATGTATAATAGATAGACCACATAGATGCTTGATAGATAATTTATGAATAGCATATAATAAAAAAACACTAAATATTCTATAGCTGCTCTAAATGCTCTATGCCAATATTTTACAGACAAAAGCCAAGAAAAAAGGTTTAAATATTATGTGGTAAGACAAATGGTGTTTTTCAAACTTGGCTAGAAGTGTTAAGACTCTATAAAAGATTTAGAAAAAACTCTTTTTAAAGGTTTTAATGATTTTACTGAAGCATTAGATTATTCAAGGGGTATATTAGGACCAAATTATTATATTTCTCCAGCAGTCTGACAAAACCCAGAAAAAATCCCTCAATATAATATTCAAAAAGATACAGATAAAATAATTTTTTGTGATCATTGCTCATCAATGACTGAAGCCTTCAAGACACTAAATCAAAAGAACGAGATTTTGGTACAAGAAAAGGTAAGACTTGTGGAGCAGGTGAAAGTATTATAACACAGACTCCAAGCAGTAAAGTTTGAGTTAGCACAATCCCAAACTCAAATTCTCTCAACAAATCCAGGAGGTGAGTAATCCACAACAATTGAGTTCTCCATCTCAAAGTAAAATGGATGTGAAGGGTGTGCATTCCCCAATGAATGCAATAAAATCCACTTTATCGGATGGAGATACAGCTAGTCCAATTCAAACGGTAGCCGGTAAAGACTTATCAAATCCGTTTATGGCTGTCACTTTGCCAAAAAGTGAAGATGAAGGTTCATCAAGCCAAACAAGACGAAGACTACCTAGAACATTAGTACAAGGAGAAGTATTGAAAAAGAAAAACATAATCTCTAAAAAGAAAAAAAAATGAGAAAATCGAAGATATAGTTAAACAAACATAAGAAAAATTCTTCCAAGATAGGGAGAACGAACGCAAATATATGATCAAAAATCCCAGTCCAGAAATATCTCCAAGACAAAGCTCAGGAGAAGACGATAATCTAAATTATCAAGATTCTTAAGACCCAAATGATGATTCAGGAATGAGTTTCGACTCAATAGCCTTACACAATCTTGACACATAAAAGCAAACCCCAGTCATAATAACCAAAAAGAAAAGAAGATCAAAAAATAGAAAGAAAAGGACGAAAAGTAGTTGGGAATCAAAAGAAAGGCTCGGCACAATAATGCAATGAAAAGACATCTACAGGAATGAGAAGACATTTTATATGGAAAGGCATCTCCTACAGTAACTCAAGGACAATAATACAAGACCTACAGTAACTCGAGGATAATAATGCAAGACATATTCTGAAAACTTCACGTGAATAAGAGAAAAGAAAGATTCTTCAAGCAATATGAAGTCCGGAAGTGAAGTCCGCAAAACGCCTATAAATTGAGTGTTCTATGAAGACGGAAGACACTACAATAACCGAAGAAAAATAACATATTCCCTCTCTTTCACCAATGACAAAAACCACTTTCCACCTTTCAACCCTTGTAATATAAACCCCTTTGTAAAATAGCAAAAATTTGAAAAATAAGTTTACTGCTTTAAGAGTCTTTTGGGGTTTTCCCGAAAGGAAACCTCTCTCCCTCTGTAGTCATGTAAGTCTTTATATTTCAAATTGTGTTTCTGTACTACTCCCTAGTTTGTATATAATATCAAGAGTTATTATTTCTTGCATATTAAAAGCTTTATATCTGTAAATTAAATTCATTACTCTGTGTGTGAGTGTGTGTGTGTGTGTGTATAGGGCAAAAAGGAAGAGCACATCCAAAAAGCCACTTCAAATATGGGATGAACAGGACTCGGGAGCTTACAAGAAACTCGAGTATGATGGCCTGATTTTCCTATAACACAAGCACATCGGTGGCCAATTGCCCAAGCATTCGTAGATGTAGACACAATATGCACGTTCCCAGTCATGTTAAAAAAGGACAGTCCAGTGCACTAAGCTCACGATATGTGCGGGGTTCGGGGTAAGGACTAGACCACATTGGGTCTTATGTACATAGCCATACCTTGCATTTCAGCAAGAGGTTGTTTCCATACTTGAACTCGTGACCGCCTGGTCACATGGAGACAGCTTTTACCGTTGTGTCAAGGCTCCCTCTAATTAAACACCAAGTGCCTAGGCCTCGCATGCTATGCAATTAAATGGTTCATATACTTCCTTGCATCCTAGCCCATTGCATCTATAGGTACTTTGTGTTTCTTGTTCCGGTAAGTTGTATACAGAAGTAGTACCCAGGTAGAAATTGTTGTTCCTAAGTTCCTAAGGCAAACACATCCAAGACCAATAGACCATCCATGATCATTTATTACCGCAACTCCTACCCTCTCCAAGACAAATATTTGGGGGCACAGGAAAGATGGCTCAAAAGTTACACAAATAGAGCTATTGATCCACAATTTGGTTGCCAATATAGGATTCTATATTTGTATCTTGGTCGTAGTTGACAGATTTCATTTGTTTGGTTCTTAATCCCAAGCTCTTCCTTTGGACCTCTCCGCTTAATGTCACTAATCAAGAACTTTGGCCCTTTGTTAACCCTCTCCAAATACCTTTCCAAGAAAGCTCAAAGTGTCTTTATCCAACCCACTTTTCAATTAAATCCTAATAATTCAATTTTGGTCATTTATCTTCCCCAACCATAAATTTGAATACTACTTCTAGAAGTCCATCAACCAAATATCACACTGAAATATAGCATGTTTAGCCAAGCTTCTAAAATCAGCTTATTTTAAGAAGTGCTTTTCTCAAAAGTACTTATCAAAAAACTGGTTTTGGTGATAAGCAGTTTGTGTTTGGCTAATTAATTTGAAAAGCCCTTTTGAGCATTAATTAGTGTTTGGCCAAGCTTTTAAAAACTGCTTCTAAGTGTATTTTTCTTAAAAGTGCTTCTCAGAAAAGTGCTTTTGGAGAGAAGCTACATTTTTCTGCTTCCCAAAAACTGCTTCTGCTTCTCCTCAAAAGCACTTTTTTGCTTCTAAAAGCTTGGCCAAACACCTCAATTTTTTTTTAAAAAGTACTTTTGACAAAAAAGCACTTTTGGCCCAAGAAAAAGCTTGTCCAAACAGGCTAATAATCATCCTAATAAAGAATCGTCATCAAGAAAATTAAAAAAAAAAAGGGAATCACAAAAGAAGCCATCTCTAAGGTAGTTCATCGGTAAAACAGGAAAAATGCTGGTGCAACATGGCAATTGCAAATGATGTAGATGTCTTTATAGGTTTTGTCAGCTCATTACATGTTTTACAATGAACATCTTGGAAGTATTTTCCTTACCAACACTTTTTTATTGCTAGAACACATCAATATAAAATTTACTCTTTACTTATCAAACAAGGGGCAAAATCCATCCAAAACCCTTATCTAATAGTACTAGACTACTAGTTATGATTGTGAGCAGCATTAAAGTGGATGGAAGGAAAGCTAGTTTTCCGGTATCCTTTTGGGAAAATAAATGAGGAGAGCCTTTCACCTTTTCGAAGTGGATCTCCAGCCTACCAAATTTCACTATGTTCAAGGAAGCATTCATAGACACTAACATACAGATGACCTTTTAAATCAAGCGAACTAAAATGTCAAGCACTACTCTGCCCTATTGCTTCTTTGATGTCCAAATAAGGGCAAGAATCTCACTTCCATTCCCTTTCTACCAAGCAAAGCATAGAGATAATCTTATCCATAGAGAAGAACATTAGTCCAATGACCTCACCTCTTCTCCTTCTCTTCACCTCCTCCTTCGCTAAACAAAGGTTACACGCTAAGTTGCAAAAACACATAAAGTTTTGACTTACACACTATGGATTCAGCATGTCCTCCATGCTCTTGTCATTAAATTTACAGCAGGATCAACGAAGAACCTAGTCAGCATATTATATCTCCGCCATATAATACATATTGCAAAAACAATTATACTCATGCACAAGGACGACATGCACAAATCAAAAAAGGTCTAAATTTGCTTATCGAAAAAAAATAACTCAAACCACTTTAGTAGTATGATCAGAAAAACAAGTGTGAGAGAAGCAAAAAAGGAAAAGTTGGAAAGTAAATCCAATTTTGGCAAGTCTAAATACTAATTTAAACTGTTTTTCTCAACTCTTGCAAACAAAGATTACTAATACATTTTCCTGTAAGTTCTAACCATTCCTAGCATCAGCATCACAGTTGGGTTCATCAAATCAACCTTGCTTATTTACTTAGTAAAGTACTACTCCATCAGTCCCAATTTAAGTGATGCACTTTCCTTCTAAGACTGCCCAAAATGAACGATACCTCCTTATAATAGAAACAATTTCACTTTAAACTTCTCATTTTACACTTAATAAGATTAATTCACAACCACAAAAATGTTTATGACTTGTTTTAGACCACAAATTTCAAATGTCTTTCATTCTTTCTTGAAATCCGTGTCCAATCAAATAGAGCCAAATAAATAGGGACTAAGGGCTTATATAGTAAGACAAAAGATCAAATCAAACTTCATTTGCGCGAAAAAGTCAAGATCTTTAGCTACAATCACATCAACAGATTACGCGCACACAAACTACCAATTTCTAAGACTTTCTACCTTTTTACTTCACAAGTTCACATAATTTAGCAAATAAAACCTTGAATTTCAAATCCAAATTCATAGACAAACAAAATAAAACAATTTTGTTTAAACAAACTTATAGAATAAACTGATAAATAAATAAATATAATGAGATAGATAAGCATGCCTGTTTCAATTGACCACGGCGCTTAGACAAGAGAACAATCTGTTCATTTAAAGTATTCCAAGCACGAGCTTCGAAGCAAAGATGAAGAATATCGGTAGCCGCTTTTCTAGTTCCGGCAACATCTCCAGCTTGCCTCATCTGCTTCTCTACGTTCAAAAGCGCTTCTATTTGGGCCTCCAATTTCCCATCACCTTCCTGTAAACGCAAAAACAAAAATTCAAATGAATAAACAGAGGAATAGATCGAAAATTAAGCACGAAATATAGAAATCTAAAGATAATCGAACATTTACCATATTGAATTTTTGAGTTTTTTGGAGTTCGATTGAGATCGATTCTGAAACCCTAGAAGAGAGAGACAGAACGAAATAGAGAGAGGAGTGTTTGAAGACTTCTAATTTTTACTTTTTGAGTCTTTTTACACTTATTTTCTGTTTTCTGTTTTTTTTTTCCTTCTTTATTCCAGTTTTCTTGTGGGAATAGTTATTCTCTGCCGAAAAGGGGCGATCTTTTAAAGAAAAAGGAACAAAGAGATTTCGTATGCTTTTGGTCCTATATTCCTAAATTTGGTGAAGTTTGGTTTGAAAATGAAAATATATTTGGATATCAGTTTTCAAAATATATTTCTCAAATTTATTTTAAAAAAATATGACTTATACTCATAAATTCTAAAAACTATCACAAATACCTAACAGTACCATTATCAATAATATTCATTATATTATCGCAAACCATAGTCCTGAACATAAATAAATTTGATACAAAATTATCATTTTTATAATGAACTACATGATACACTATTAGGTGACCGAGAAGACGAAGCAACATTGTTACAAAACAATAAATGGTGGGCTCTTTTATAAAATATAAAAGTTTGGGGCAATTTTAGAAAAATGCAATAGTGATATTTTGGATCTATGGTCAAATATGTATTTGCCAAATAAAACCTAAATTTATTTTGGTAAAATCTATGGCCAAACGGGTCCAAACATTGTAGGCCTTATGATTCTCGAAAATACACTTTCATCCTGTTACATTACTTTGCTGCGTTATTGAAAAAATATAAAAATAGTACTAGTACTAAGGGCCCGTTTTGCCATAATTTTTTTTTTTACTTTTTTTCAGATTTTTTTTTTTTTTTTTTTTTTTTTTTTTTTCATTTTTTTTTTTTTTTTTTTTGGGAATCAGTATTTAGCAATGAAAATTTTAAATTTTAGTTGAAATTAAATTTCAAATTTTTTTTTAAAAAAAAAAAAAAACTCCAAAAGGTTATTTTTAAAAAAAAATCACTTTAAATCACTCACAAAGATTCAAAAACAATTCCAAATTGTATTCGTGTCCAAACACAACTTTAATTTTCAAACTCTTTGTGGGATTAATTATTCAATGCGGAATAGAATAGTACTCTATTATAAAATTAATTAATCACGAATTTGCTAATTTTCTATGTAAAAATTCAACCAAATGTTGGATAAAATAATTCCACATCTAATCTATGTATGGAGTAAAATATATTCATATTTAATGATCGCATGAGAAAGCGACACGTGGAGTCGAAGACAAAAGGCAGTCGGACCCGAAGGCAGTGATCTCGCTTGTCATCAAAGAGAATGATACTCATAAAGGTAAAATAAATGTCTGCCATCCGATAACATTTAATGAAGAATATTTTATAGCATTAAGTGCATGATCTGTTACAGAGAATATGGCATTCACTGTCCACCATTACATATTCTTCAATGGCCCTCATAATTGTCATTTATGAAGGGCTTGATCCGAGGACCTTGCTCCCTAGATGTAACTATAAATAGTGAGCTCTATTATCATTGTAAAGGGACAAATTTTCTGACAAGCATACATCATATTCTATCAAAAGCTCAGTAATATTTTACTTTCTTGCTTATTTATATTGTCTTTACTGCCTCCGGAAGCTTTGCGCCCCGGACTAAGATGTCTGCCGTTTTACTTCAATTTCAAGGCTAAGTCTTACATTTTTATCTGATCCATCTATTATTTTTGGATCAAATCAATTCATTTGTCTATAAACCACGTATAAATTCAATTGTACCGTTTTACTGGTAAACAATCTCGAGATTATTATTATCGTTATCATTCTAGACAACCCATTTGTGCTTCTAGAAAGCTTGCATATTACCTTTTGATAGTGCTACAAAGGTTTATTTAGTATTTTTTCCTCCAAAAAGACGAGATGCGGCTAAACTAATACTAGTAACTTAAGGTTTTATAAAATTTCAAATATATTTATTTGAAATTTTATTTTTTTAAAATTTTGAGATGCAAAGTTTTTAATTAATTTTATATTAAATTTCATTTAATGACTTTTTCAATCATTGATTTAAGATGAGATTTTATTGATTTAAATTTTGAAAAGAACACTCCCAAAATTTTCTAATCTAGTTTTTAAGGGACAAAGCCATATTCATGCCCAATATCTTAAGAACTGCTTATGCTTTATTCACTCATTATCTTTATTTGAAAGGTCAAACCGATTAACCTAATATGAAGATGTTCAAAGAGTAGAGATAAACAATCCCTATCCACCTTGATAAACGAACTCAAACTGCTGCTCTTGTGTTACAATACAAAGACTTAGCTTAATTTGCAGAAAAGCACCTTAAACCACAAGAAAAGATGTACACATTGTTCAAATTCCTGAGGAGATAGATACAAACTAAAGAATTTAACCAGCCTTTCATCTATAGCTATAGTTTTTCCAAGAATCGCTTATAACCAGCAAACGATTGTAAAAGCGACCATCCATTCCCTCCAACAAAGATGTCATATCAATACCTTACGAGAACAAGAAGAGCCAGAGAAGCCTGAGAAAGAGCACGTAAGTGCACGTTCATGGCTAGCGATAAGTATCGTGTTACATTTTTAAATCTCAATAAATGATCGGTTGAATGTCCTTCTGAGTGCTCCAAATAATGCCAGCAGAAGGAAGTAGGAGTCGTTGAAAAAATTGGTGATATTGAATTTAGTTTCTTTTCACTTGTTCTGCCCCGGCTAGTAAGAGGGTCTGGAGGTAAAATGAGACTCCAGACCAAATCCAAAGTCAACCTCAGAACGACCAATGGGCGACCTGTCACTTCCTCTACCTCTAACATCACCAACTTCCTCAGAATTACGTCGTTGGGATATCTTCATGATATCATCTCCAATATCAAGATCGTCTTCCACCTTAATTCGTGTATCCCCATCAGAGATATCTATTTCTGTTTCTTGAACGTTACTCCTAGGAGGCTTTGATGCCTCTTCCTGTACATATCCACGGAAATTGATTTTTGAAGGTTCTATCCTTGAGCAGAATACTTCAAGAAAATTGCTGATGCATCCCCGGTTATACACACTGTTCCTGTTATCTCCCCTATAACGAAAGTTCTCATATGTGGTCTGCAGAGATCATTTGTAACTAAAACATGTCAAAATTAAGCACGAGGAGAAAAAGATAAAAAGGTAATGGTCGATATTCAAAAAGAAACAAAAGATGTTCCAAATAAAAACAGAATCATTCTCGAACAACAATTGACATACAGCCACTAAAAGCTGCTTATCTGTCAATTAGTTTCTTGAAAGTGTGATAAGATCACAGAAGGCACTCATCCAATTCTATTTTCAACAGCATTTGCTCCTAAATA